TTTTTCAGTTACCCAGTTGATTTGGTTGGTATTGGAGTTTCCTGTTGATGGTTTTCTAATATTCTCTTTAGGTTTTCGTTGTGGATCTTTTTTAATAGCATGTAAATACTCTTTTAATATTTTCTTGCTAATTTTAGTATCTTTGGAGGCGTTCTTTTTGTTTTCTTTAATTGATCCAGTAAATTTTTTGTTCATATTGAGCTCGGATTTATTTTGTTTATTACATTGGATGCTATCTCGAGTGTTGGTGAGAGATTTGGCCATCGTGTGTCTCTTTGTCATTTTTGTGTTGTGGGGAATCGCTTTTTGTTCACCACGTTGGGCGCCATCGCAGGGTTTTTTCTTGCTTTTAGAGGGTGTATCTCTAGCCTTTCGAGCGGGGTGACTAGGTGTGACAGTTGTAGGTGTGCTTGTGTTCTTGTCACGTGATACTGGGGTAGACTCTTCTTTTTTCAAGGTGCAAGAGGGATTTCCTAGAACAGAGTTAAGATTTAACCCTGATAACCCTTGTGATTGGTTTGGAGGAATATCTTGATATGATATTGGTTTCCCGTTTATTTGAGCTATTTTATTATTTCTATCTTTTGAGATGTTTAATCTATCTTGATCTACTTCTGATAAGAGCATATAAGCTTGGTCTCCTTCAAGAATTGATATTTTAAGCGTTGCTTTTATATCTTCTACTTGGAATATTGCTCTTACTTGTCCAAGATTTTCTATTGTTTGTCCTCCTGGCAGAATAGCAGTTGATTTCTTTGTGATATCTATTTTTTCTAATAGTCCTAATTCTTTTGCCATATCTGATCCTATGACATTTGCACTTGCTCCTTCATCTAGTAATACTAGTATTGGTTTGTTGTTTAATAGCGCTATAAATTGGTATTGCTTCTTTCCTTTTGGTCTAAGACTTTGCCATTTAGCTTCTTTTGGAAATTTGTAGGTTTTGAGAAGATAGTTGTATTCATTTTGTTCGAATGCTTTCTTTATCATTTCTTTATTTGTAGGTTTGGCAGAGAACTTTTGATACTTTTGATAAATAATAGGATCTTTATTAAGTATTTTAGAGTTAATACATTTGATATTATTGATATTTTGTATTTTGGTAATACTAATAGTGTTTATGTTCTCTCTAGTGTAGCCTTTAGAAGGTTTCCTTGGGGTTTTTTCTCGAACACTAGGTGAGTCCCCTATTCGAAAGAATTAACTTTCTTCTGAATGGTTTTATAAAGGTTATTTGCAGTTATAACTTCTTCATCATCAGATTCTTCAGTTTCTTCTTCAGATTTTGAATAGTATTTTTCTTCACTTTCTTCTTCATTTCCTTCGTAATGTCGGAATTTCTTTTTGGTAAATTTTCCTTTATATGGTTTTCCTTTTCCTTTGTTGTAAGATTTCTTTGAGAAATTTCCTTTCTTGAATCTTTCTATTTCCATTGGTACTGTTCTTCTTCCTACTTTCTTTCCATTCATATGTGTTTCATTATTTCGAGTACATCCTGGATAATGTCTTGGATATGGTTTTCCACATTGTGAGCAAAATCTTTTTTTTTTGAGTTTCCAATTATTTACGTTGTTAAAGGAGTCTCTTTTAGTGTTTGAGTAGCAAGTTCTGGCAAAATGTCCTGGTTTTCCACATTTAAAGCAGTTTCCTTTAGGTTTGTCACTTTGTAAAGTATCAATATTTTTTATTGAAACTTTCTTTTGAAATCGTTCTTTTTTATTAAATTTTGTATTATTTACTTTGGTTACTTTGATGTTAGCTAATTTTCCAAAGTTGATTTTACACTTTGTAACATTATATGTCCTTCTGCTTGAAATGCTCTTTCTCCTGCTTCCCAAAATTCTTGTAAAGATGTTGGGTTAGCATGATGGATTGCTCTTTGTATTTCTATGGGCATTCTTGTTTTGAGATGATTATATTCTCCTGCTTTGAAGTTATCATTGAATAGGTATCCAGAGATTTGCATTAGTTTTTTATAAGTGCTTCTCCATGCAGAGAATGCTGATTCATCTTCCCAATTTGGTTTTACAAA